CCCACACACACACACACACACACACACACACACACACACAGAGTCTGCAAAGGAGCTCACTTATTCTGACTTCTCTCCGAAAACGACTGAAAATGAATTCAAAGTTTCATCCAAAAGACAGCTGGTCTCTTTTGAAAATGGTGGAACATCTTTAAGGACTTCAACCAAGAGCAGCTGCCCTTTGGATTAGATTCACCATGACCTGGATGACTGAGAAACCTCACACACACTCAGGCTTAAAAAGGGACAGAAATATTGACAAAGCTTTTGAAACTTCAGAAAAATGTCCCAAATCCTGAGAAATATTCAGAGGTTAGTGTCATGTTAAGTGTGTTTATTTAAACAGGTAATACCCATCTAATATCTATTCTAAATGTCATGGCAGTATTGAAGAGTTCCTGAGATATATCAGCCATAATCCAAACAGTTACCCAACTGACTGACAAGTTGACCTTTTTAACCCCTTGAACCCCTCTGCCTGCATGTGAAAAACTTATCTGAATTAAACGACTGATCTCGTGTCTACTTTGGGACATAAACTTGTGTTGCTATGAGTTTATCTACAATGGAAATGTATTTACATAAACAAGAGTTTGATTTTTTTTCCCAAACTCGTCCCATGTTCTTCTTGTTAAAATTGTGTTTTTGAAATCTTTGATATTTAATTGTTCAATCAAGAATCATGTTAGGGACTGACCCTGATTACAAATTAAACACAGAGAGAAGGTTATTGAACTTTATGTGGTTGTTCTCTCTTTAATCAATCACTGAGCGATCTCTTTCTGTCTCTGTTTCATTCTTATTTGCTGAGAGCGAGGATGAGAAAATCGAGGAGAATGGTTGCGATGGAAGTTCCTTCTTTACTTTTTCTGTAAAGTAATGTGTAAGTCAACACTTTCCGATAACAGATATTTTAAATAATTTAAAAGTAGTAGCCCAACCAACAACAAACTCGCTTTCAGATTGAAATCCTGGAATTCAAGCAGCAGACCTTAGAGGGAGGATAATTTACATAAAAACATTTGAACCTAAAAGCAGATAAAGAGCAAAATCCTGATTGAACGAGGGCCCAGACAATTTCAGACTTCATTTTACACAAGCCGTTGTGTTTCTCTGTTTGTGACAAATGAAGTAGTAAAAATATTCAAAATCCAGCAGAAAAACATAGAGACTCAACTGAAGCTCGCTGTATACGTTTAAGGTCTGTGACTGCAAACGTTTATTTAGTCAGATAACAAACAAAGAGGATTTCTCTTTTTGTCTGTCGCTTTCTAAGGAGCAACTTTTACTATCCAGACTAAATCGCATCACCAATATTTATCCATTAGCTCTCAGACGACTTTGGAGATCACTGGAGGGTGAAGAGTCGATGGAGCAGAGTTACAGCGCTTCATGAGTTAGTCCCAAACTCACCCAAACATAAATGGATATTTCTCACTTCTCCTCTCATCTGCTCTTTCCCCTCTCAACATGTTTTATTTACACGTCCAACCAAAAGAATCCTATACACAGGAAATGCTTGTGATTGTGTGTTCCTCTCCTCAAATGTGGGGACGTTTATTTATTTCAACAAACATTCCTGATGTGCAGAGCGCCGGCCTCGCACACTGCGGCTCTCTCAGTACAAACGTGTGTGCGGGCTTCAGGCCTATATTTAGAGCCGGCTGCTCTGTGTTTGTAATGATGCTGTCAGCAGAGCGCTTTGATTTCATGCAGGTGTCAGTCTGCAGAAAGGAACATTTCGAGCTTTCAGTGCCATCAGATCTCATCAGATATAAACAGAGGGATGAAGAGAGGAGATCACAAGGGCGAGACGTTTTAAAGTGACTCTACCAAGTAGTTCAGCCAGTTTTTCTCTATGAGACTGATTGTAATATCTGAATTTACGACTCTGCTTGAATCATCTGACGAGCCTCATCTGATCGATAGCTCACATTAACATTCACAAAGTTCGATTGTCTGACAGCTGACCTTTGACCTGACCTCTGACCTTTTACTTCTGACCCCAGTCAGACCAAAGTCTGAGACCATCTCAGTCCAGAATAACAAATAAATAAATATAATAATAACACTAGCAGTGTATTTGTTATGATTACTTTTATTGTCTACAACAAATGCTGTAAAACATATAGAAATACATATATAGAATGAACGACATCGCACTTCTTTTTTTAATGTCGAGCTTGAAAGTCCGTCATAGCGTCCATATTGTCTTGAATGTCTTGAACACCTCGAAGCTCATTTATCTTGTATTGAAGAGGAGCTAATGTGCATGTGCAACTTAGAGACAATGGAGGCCCAGGATTCAAGATACTTCAGTCCTGGGCCAGACAATGTGACCATGAATAACTTTAGACACGTAGAATGCTTTTAATCTACATTTTTATTCCAGATTTGACATTTTACTCACTAATAACAGAATATTTACCTTCCTTTTTTTTAAAGGTACAGTCAGCAGCTTATTCTTAAAAAATAAAATATAGACTTATACAGAAGTATAGCTACTCAACCCCTTATGGGCCCCCATACATGTGTGGTAGTAAATGTGTCTGCAAAGAGCCTCTCCTTTTCCTGGATTTTGAGGTTTTGTTTTGGTTGACTCTGTACGTTTCCAGGTGGGGAGCTGGTGCATTTGCCCCAGCCAGTGACAGTGCAGGTGAGTTTCAGAGTGGATAGAATTCAGCAACCACATTGGAAAATATTGGGGACATGAATGTAGTGTCAAAGTAGAGAAATGATGATCGTAGTGAGGTGAAACGACACTGCAGATAAGGCTTGATCTGAAATGAGGGTGAACCTTGGGTTGGCTTTTACCCGCGGACATGCAGTTTGTCTGCTTACTGTTGGACAGGGAAATGACAAACACAGGTGCTAGCGTGCAGTAGCTTGCAGTGTAGGTACAAGCTATGCATCTGAGAGTGAGCGCCCAGGAGGAGGGGCCCAGTTTGGATGTGGTGTTTACAAGCTGCAACAAACATTTCTACTGACTCCACTTTTAAATGTATTTCAAACACATTTTCAAAAAATGAATTCAGTCAAAGGGGGCTTAAATATCCTGATAAAGGGTTACTGTTATTTTAGCTGAAACACATTTACTTATTTCATCTCTATTTATAATTTGGCCAATCTTTAAAATCTTGTGAATGATCACTGAAGGAATTCTTGCCTGATAACAAATGTAGCACCAATAACCAACACCTAAGCAGCCTGTAGCCTCCAGCCCCTCTGCGTGGTGATGCTTCAGAGGGAAAAACTGATTTTGAATGTGAAACAGTATTATTCAGTGTTGCTCTGGTGAACATTTAATTCTCCTCTCTGTTTGTTTTCATCATTAGATAAATAAAAAAATCTGAAATAACTTTTTCTTCTAAAACAGTCGCTGTAGACGGCAGCAAGAACCATGCAAACTGTATGTGGTGGCTGCACCGACAAGCTTCCTGTGGAGGCTGCTGTTTTGGAGATTAAATTTTCTGGTGTTAATAAATAGCTGTATTGGATTAGTTCAGAGACTGGCGTACTCTTGGATATCTAATCTCACATTGGGCTGTGTCAGTTGCATTTCCTTAACAGTATCTTTATTGGAATCACTGTAGTTTTCAGTACGGAGTGTTTAGTGACCACGTGTTGGGAGCATCAGAAACCAAGGCCAGTTATACTTACATTTACAGACAAGACACTTTTTATTAACAGTTTGAATTGTTTGCGCAATTGGGCTGATTCAAGCTTCTTTTTTTTTATCCTTGATATAATAGAAAATGATTTTTTCTTAATGAGATTATAAAACTTTGAACTACAACCATCAGAAATATAAAGCTGTGGGATCAATGCTGACCAGTAGAACGTGCTTTCTCAGTCAGCTTTTCTCTTTTTAAGCATCCTATCCTGATCATCTGGTCACATATGAACAGATAATGTCGAAGAGGAAATTCTGTAAAAATAACTCAGAAATAAGTTCTTATTTTGTATCAGCGAAGGTGCTAGCCTTTAGTTTTAATGCATTGATTTTAATATATCCATGGGCTCCACATTAAACAAATATATACAGATTATTCAAGAGGCTTTTTTGGGGGCTTCTTTGAGCCAGTAATAATGATAATGTAAGTTTTATATATACATATATGTATATAAGTTTCTTGCTTTCTTTATTTTAATAATGAACTGTGTTAAAGTCAGAAAACCAGAAGTCTCTGGCTTTTTTTCAACTTACTGATTTTAACTTTTATTTTTTACCTGGGAAACAGAAATTTGACAATAAAAATAAAATAATAACTGCATGTTTCCTCCCTGCACAAAACGCTTTTCTGAGGAGGGACGCAAATTGTGATTGGGTTCTCCTGAGTAAACCTTAAATTGAGTCTCTGTTTTTATTTTCTTCAAATCCAATGACTTAATTTACTGATTAACCAAGTTAACCTTACTGATTAACCTGTTTTCAAGGCAGTTGCGACACAGCTAAGTTTTATGTAATGACACATTTAAGTACTCTCTGTGTTCCCTAAGTTTGTGCCGGTCTGATATTTGAGTAAAATGCAAATAAATCCAGAATCTGTGAAGAGGTCACCTTAAGTCTCACATTTAGTCATCTTTAAGTTATTTAGATACTCCACAGTGCTGCTCCTCAAAGAAAAGGCTGAGGAGCCAACTCTTCACTCGTTTAGTAACACTTTACACATGTTCTCTGTTCTTTAGTGAATCTTGAATGATTTAGAACTTTTTGGTCCATTTGTTTCTGTAGAAACCAGGAGTCGTTAGTTTTGGTAGCTACCAAACTGTGAAAATGTCTCTGGGCTTGTTTTTCCTACAGAATGTTGTTGAAATGAAGTAATGCATAAAAACATATAATATTAATCTCCATAAAAGCTGTAAGAATTGTAAAGGATGCTTTTTGTTTTCTTATATTCTGTTGTCTTCAGTTCTTATTTTTCTTTGTTTTTGATTATGCGTGTGTATACCTTTAAATGTGTACATGTTGTGTTATTCCTGAAAAAGCACATTAAATGTTATGTTTGAAAAGAGATTTTTTATCATTCATTTCATATTTTACAATGGCAAGAAAGTAATCAGAACTCCATAAATTACTCCTTGTATCTGCGTACAGTCACCAAATCATCAACTTTTCTCAGATCCTGGACCCCTAAACACAAACATGATAAGATGTTGTCCCCTGAGTTCCATGTTTGGATATTGTATTTAAGATGCTACATAAAAGAAAGTCAAAGCAGCCAATAAAATTTAATCAGAAAACATCTCACTTGTATAACTGATGAAAAATAATTGTTGGGACAGGGGCCCTTCATTTTGAAAAACATTGCTTTGAATTTGTTTTTCTTACCACCAAATCTGGGATGCACGACAAAGGAAAAACGGAAAACACTCAATCAACACACAATCAAAGCCTGCTAATCCTCATTTACACTTGAAATTCAGGACAAAGTGGAACACAAAGTAGAGTTTCATTCCATCTCATGCAATACAATATATTCTCATCCACTGACTTATGCAAATCTGTAGAAGCGTTTTTGTCATGATGATAAAGAGAGAAGTGTTGTGTATGTAATCGATCTCTATATTTTAAGATACAGTATCCCTATATTTATAACTTTGTTGCTGTGAGCATGAAATTGCTCTGACGTGAATTTAAAGGAGTAGCCTAACAGTTACTGAAGAGTAATGATGAACATAACCACAAACCTGACAATTACGCATGCGTAATAAAAGCCTCGCTGCTGTCTTTCAGTGTTTGATGAACCCGGTAATGCCTTAGAAGGCAGAGCTTCTGAAAAGAGTAAGCAGTAACTTGTCTGAGAATCATTCATCATGCAATCTTTATTATAGATTTTTAACATTTACGCATCTGTGCGTAAATTACACATAAAGGCCTTCATTCTTTATTTAAACTGTAGGACTTTTTCGGGGTAGGCGACTGACAGATATGAGCAAAAGGGTAAACCCATCTGGTACAGCTGATGCGGTCTAGCATCAAGGACCAGAGGGGAACATAGAGCAGGAGTCTGGCGCTCTGCGCATGTCTCCGCTGATACATCGAGGACGCTGTCGCGCATTCCGTCCTCATTTCTCGATAAGATACTTTCAATGCTAAAACATTTCAATTTTTCCTTGAGTGGGACATTTCCTTTCGGCTTGTCCTGAGCAGGTGCAGTCACATGTTTGTTTCCTGCGCGGCTGACGGCACAGAGCGGACCTCTCTCTCTCTCTCTCCAGCTGAAAGCTGACCTCCTCTCCTCCGGCTCCATGCGGAGGGACGCGCCCGGGAGACGCGCACTCTCAACCCAAACCGGAGTGGGAAATTGCTCGGGCAGGGGGGCGTCAGGCCTCCTTCCTGTGGACGCAGGGATGTGTGGGTTGCGGGACACTTTAAGTCTATGTGACGGAGGACTTTGCGGGTTATCCAAATGGTTACAGTCGACAAGAACAGTTTTTGCGTCTGTTGATTTCTCCAACCTCTCCGCATTCTGTCTCAACGGCACCTCTGCGTGCCGAGAGCCGGTCTGAGGGTTAAGAGAGGACTGAGGGTCCCTGGGTGGCCCCGGGCCTTTATTGCGCTTGTGTCCAGCTGCTCTGGAGTCCAGAGACTCCTGCTGGCTCCTCGCCTTCCTTTTTCTCCTGCGGTAGTTCCCGTTCTCAAACATGTCCAGACACTTGGTGTCCAGCGTCCAGTAGCTGCCCTTACCGGGTCGGCCCTTCTCTCTGGGCACTTTGATGAAGCAGTCATTCAAAGACAAGTTGTGGCGAATGGAGTTCTGCCATCCCTGCTTGTTGTCGTGATAAAAGGGGAACCGGTCCATGATGAACTGGTAGATGCCGCTGAGCGTCGCGCGCTGCTCCGGCGCGCTCTTGATGGCCATGGCGATGAGCGCGATATAGCTGTAGGGAGGCTTCTGCGGAGGCTCTTGACGGGTTGGCACGAAGCTCAGGCCGGCGGGCACAACCCCTCCGCTGTCTCCTCCGTACAGGTATATCAGCGGAGGCCCGGTGAGGCCAAGAGCCGGGGAGGGCACTCCGATTGAAGGCAGGCGGCTGTGGTAGAGAGTCATGACGCCGGAGTGTGTCCCGGGGAAAGCTGCGGCTGCTCCCGGAGCTCCTCTCCACCGCTGACTGACTGCACGGCCTCATGAGGGCCCCACAAAATGTTAATAATTGTTGTACGTTTGCTGTGTTATGTTGACTTTGCACTGGGAAATAAATTGTCCATCATAAACAGTCGGTGGTGTTCTCAGCCCACCCACATTAATTAAAATTTCATTGCGCTGAAACTCCCTCATGTTCCCCCCGTCGGCCCAGCAGCCAATGAGACGCAGGGTTATTCCCTCATCTGTTTACAGAATTAGTCGCTTGATAAGTCTGCCCACCCAGGTCGAATCAAGCTGTGTTTATTTGGAAAAATTTCCGGGCACCCAATACATAAACGCACTGATGTGCTGTTTGAAATATCACGTCCACCCCTGACGCGGAGGGTTGCTCACACAGAGAGAACAAGCAAACAGTGCGGAGTCTTTCTGGGAGTTGCTGTGGGTTCTCGCAAACGAAAACAAAGTGTATAACAGGGAAAATAACTAAAACAGTTTTTGTCAGACCATTTTCTTCACTCTAGTTACACTTAATGAATACAGAAGTACTTGTTTGGGTCTATAGGAACGGATTTGATCGCAATCATCTCTTCACTTTTATTTAAAGTATCTAAAAGAAAACAGTACATTTGAGATGACTGACAAGGTAGCCTACATAATTGTAATATGCCTCAAAAAGGGAAAGAACTTGTGCAAGTTTAACGTTTCCTCATATGAAAGCTTTATAAGAAAAAGAGCATGAAGTTCATCAAATTAATTCAATTCCTGTCTTTTATTCCATCCTTTAATATTATTTAGTTACATTTATACCCTTTTCGTAAATACTTTAAGCAAAGTGAATGAGGGCTAGAACCAGAATGACTAGATAAATCACCCATCTTCATTATTTATTAATTTAATTCCATTTATAAACTGTATATAATAAAAGTATATTTTAGGGCTGTCCGCATTAACTAGTTAATCGCGATCAATTAGCATTAATGCATTCGTGTTTTTAATCGCGATTACTCCCATGCTATTTTTTGTCCCTTTAGGTGCACCATAGCGATGCCTCCTCAGTGTCTCCCTGGGGCCACAGGATTGAAAAGAACGACACTGCTGCATCTTTAAATGTCTCATTTTACTAAAAAAAAAAAAAAAAACCGACAGCTCAAATGAGAGTCAAAAGTAATATCCACCTTGATGACATCAAACATTTCACTTTTTATCCATTCCTTTTATCCCACCAGAATCTGAAAGTTGAATAATAATTTATTATAGAAAACTATAGACGAAATATTATCAGAGAAAAGTTAATGAAAACATTTTATAAACAACATTTCCATCTTTCCTATAAAACACTAAATCAAAACAATTTCCTTCTCCTGATTTTTATTATGTCTGTCTGTAATACTCTTCCAAAGATTTCTATTGACTACAATCAAATTCAACCTTATTAAATTAAATCCTTCAAAGTGAGAAAAAAAAAACCTCAACCCACAAAATATAAACTAAGGAAATGACCTGTGTGGTTACATGTTTCTAACTCTGGATTATGTCTGTTCAAAATGAATAAACTTACACAAAAAGGGGTGATAACTAAACATGCATGTTATCCTGATTCCTTCCAACATGTTGTAATATGTAAGCATTATTTATTATATCAGTAATGTCAGCTTTAAAAAACAGATAATTATTATTTCAGCCAAGTAACAGTTACCTGCATATAATGTATAATTGAGTAAACAGATTTATTAACCACCTGAATAATCCATGCAAGTCAAGACAAATCAAGTCAGAGTGAACAGATTTCAAATTAGAATATTCACAGACAAAAGTGTAAAAGCAGTTCTTTCATGTTCATGCTTTATCACAGGGCGTTATGATTTGTACTCTAGTCTTTTGATATTTTTTATTCATCAGTTCTGTCAACACTGAAGGATTGTTCCTCAGAATAGAAGATGTGGATGTTGCTGCTTTCATCAGAAGTGAAACCAATGTAAACATTTCTTCAACCTGCATTTCTTCTAAAGAGCAGCAGGCAACTGATTGTATAGAAGTGAAAATGAAAAAATGATCCTTTTACTTGATTAAATTATCTCAGTAAACAATTTACAAATTAATTTATGATCTCATTTGCTCGTATCAAGCCTTCATCATCACAGCTTGATGTTCATTTCATTGATTTCCTCTTTAGTAAATGGTAAATAAACTTTTTTGTAGTCTTCTGATTATACTAAGCGCTTTTACACCGCAGGTCACATCTATTCACACCCACATCCACAAACTGATGGCAGAGGATGCTGTGTAAAGTGTCCATCAGAATAATTAGTCCTATTTATACACATTCATGCGCCAGAAGCTATGGAGGATAAGTGTCTTGCCCAAGGTCTAGTGTTGTAGTACTTGAAATCGGTCTTGGTTTCAAGACCGGTCTCGGGACCACTTTTTGAAGGTCTCTGTCTCATCTCAGAATCAAAAGCACTTTTACATGGTCTGTTGGTCAGTTTTGAATCAACAATGTTATGTTTCTCCATCATTACTGTGATACGAAGGAAAATGCCACTTTCTACAACAACAAATAACTTCAATTCATTTGTAGTTTTATATTTATCCCCCTGGTTACGGCGGCAATCTTCCCAATGTTACGGTCTAAATGAGTTACACGCCCCCTGCACACAAGATGATGATCTTTCAGTGATATTTATGGTCTTGGTCTTGTCTCGGTCTCGTCCTGCCTTGGTCTGGGGCTTGACTTGATCTCGATCCCTGAATGTCTTGGTCTTGTCACAGTATCGGAGCACTCTGGTCTTAGGTATGTCTTGGTCTCGATTAGTGTGGTCTTGACTAGAACACTACCAAGGACACAACCGACATGTGGTTGAAGTAGCTAAGGATCGAACCCCTGACCTTCCGGTTGAGAGACCGACTCTGCCAACAGAGCCACAGTGAAGAATCAATGATAACACATGGCATGCTTTAGGGTGGGCCTACCTGTGATTGACATGTAGCTACTGCAATAACCTGTCAATCAAGTCTAAGAGGCTTTGCAATGTGTATCCAACATCTCATCCACATATTGTCCCTTTTTCCTCCAAGAGACAGCTAAATGGCTACCTTTGAGGTTTTCTTCTTTTAAATTTACATCTGGATCTTGCTGGAAAATAATCTCGACTTAAATCTTGGGGAAGCCGGATAGTGAACCGGCAAAATAGTAAATGTATTTTCAGTCTTGTAGACATTCCTGGAAGACTTTACCTTTCAATGAATCAAGTTTATTATTAAAGCTATTGACTAAGTTTTCCCTAATGCAACTTGGAAATTGCCTGGCAAACCCATTCCATTCATGATTAACGGTCATTCATGACCAGACTTTGGTTGGTGAGACCAGACTTTGCTTCCCATGTAGGACGTTCTAATTTTCTCCTGAAATAATACATATTTAAATGAATTACTGACCTCTTTCTTGCTTTCTACACATGCTCTCTCACTCTGAAGGAGCCATATCTAACTGACATGGACTCTGCTCATTGAACAGATTATATTTCTGATTGTATCAAAGTTGTACAAAAAGAAACTCATTCTCTCTCTCTCTTTGAGAAGCAGCAGCAGGCGCTCAGGACTGTATTGCCTTACAAGGACAACATGGATAGTGTATTATTTGTAGATGTGAGCATGATGCTTTATATTCTGTATTTTCCTGTTTATAGGTCAAAGGAGGATTATAACAACTTTACAAGTGCGCACAGCTGGCTGCTGATTACATTAGGGCCTTCGGAGCTTTCAGTGGATAAACTCAAAAGTTGCTCTTTTTTTCTCTGTTTCTCTCTCAGCAGACGGTGATTCATTTGCAAATAAAACTAAGTAACGTGCACGTTTTTAGACAAGGCCAGAGCAAGTCACTTTTGACATTTTTCAAAGTGCAACTGCTCAAATGTTCTTTCTATCCATTCTGCAGAGAACACTTACAAAGTGCAAATATGCTCATCTACCAGCCAGTTCAACAGACACGTAGGCCTATTGGCTAATAACCACTTTTTAAAGACTTTAAATACAAATGTGTCCAACATTATCACTATTAAGAAATACGTTATACTGCAATATCCAGTGTTTATGAAGAAAAGGGGAAAAAGTAGATTATTTCAGATCCACTGGTAGATTTAGCAAACAGTAGGCCTACCAACCAGAAAATCTGAGCAAAAATCAAAATAAATGTTTTTTCCTTTCTCCCACCTCAATAATACCTTCAGGTAAAACATGAACTGACAGGCAGTGGGCTCATCCATACCTCCCCAAACTGTCAAATGTCAATATTAGATCTCACAGCTCTGTTTATGTCTTTGTATGCTCTACTTTAAATATGTTAAAAGATTTAACTCGTGGATATTCAGTGTGTTCCTTCAGTGTGTTCCACTAAAGACTCACTCAAGACATGTTTCAAGGGTTGAATATACTTCACTTTTTTTCTCCATACATTGTTCAAGCAAATACAGACTTAAATACAGGCACATATGAACTGACACATACATTACACTGCACATATTGTACTTAGTGTAAATACATGAATAAAGACAAACCTTGGACGCAGCATTATTAACAGAAAAGTCAGTGTTGCAGGATGATGTGACTGTTTTTCTCCAGAAAATATCTACATCTTCATAGGGGGGCCGTGAGATCTACATCTATCAATAATACAAAGAATGTATTCTTAACTGTTTAAATGCATTTGATTTCTATTTCCAGCTTTGGATATGATGTTTTGTCTAGCAAAGTGTTTCTGCCCTCAGCCTCTTTGGCTAAAGCACTTTAGTCTTTTTCAGGTTTGTTTAAGAAGTTTCTCTAAGTTTTGAACATGCCATAATATTCCATTTCATAATCGAGCAGCTTCCAGAAGCAGCAGTGGCTTACAGCTTCTATGTAGCAGTTTCTTGATGTTCAGACAGTTCATTGATCCCTATAGTGAAAACAGCATTCATTTTTATTTATGAGATTGTTTGGCATTAATCAATCTTCTTTTAACAATTACTATTTCAACATATAAACAAATGTATTGAGAAAATAAAGGTGTAACCCACGGTAACTATTAAACTTGTATAAATGTTCTGGTTTTTAAAAGCAGCGTGTTTATTTGTTCAAAATGTGTGGGGATATGACTGGATTAGTTTCATTACATCATATAAGTAATGTAAATCAGAGCGGCTTTTTCCTCTTTAATTACACTTCAGTACTTCTCAGTTTTTCAAATGAACTGGTCACGAGTTTTCATCTTCATCCCATGTTTCACCTTATGTTTCAATGTGGTGTCTAATGACACCTGCTGGCCACACAGAGGAATGCTTTACTTCGACAGGTGACACTGCTGAGTTCAAACACTCCCATGTGATCAAATAAAGTAACATATGTGAGGAATTTTGTTTAAATTCACTTTTTCATTCATCATCAACTTCATACTATAAATAATTGTAATCCATTTAAAATCCCCTGAAAAGTAAATTTTTCATTTCAGTTTCATAACTTTGAATGCTGAAGTCTTCTCACTTAAAAAAAAAAAAAGTTGTAGCAATGTCTTCCTTGGTCTCATCTCAACTCCTGCGATCACACGTTTAACATCATCTTTCCTTAAAGAGAAGCCCCGAGAACATTTACTGTAGTTCCGGGGACCATTGGTCGAAAAAGGGCTTTAGTGATTTGATTTTTTCCTCTTTCTAATTTTCATTCTTAGCTACTTACTTTTTTTTGTGTGTTTTGTTTTTCTTTCTGTTAGTTGGTTTCCTGTTTTAGTCTGCTTGTAAAACTGTACTGTACCACAGCTCCCCCCTTGTTTGTATGCGCTTGTTTCTCTCTCTTTAGCCAACCCTAACTCACATTTTTTACAATTACAGTCAACAGACGAGGTCAGCAATACAACAAAACATGATCAAAATATTAGAACGTTTATTTCAACTGGAATAGTGAACAACCTTTTACAGTGAACATGTAACATTTTTTTGTTTTTTACAAACTTCATACTTAAAATCTTCTAATAAAAACTAGTACAAAACAAACACAATATTAGCAGCTCTGGGACACAGAAGGGGATTTTTCCCCTGGGTCCTATTTTTGGCACATGTTGGGGTCTCAATGACTAATAAGGCAAACAAAATGTTTGAATAGCTCCCAAAAATGATGTTACAGTTATAAAAAAACATGTTTCAGGGGTCGACAGCTGAAGCAACCCCCTGAAACCATTTAATTACGTTTTGTATGCATTGGTCATTTCGACCCCAAATATGAAAAATAGGGCCCAATTTTAAAAGCACCATTGTGTTGAGTAATGTGTCATCCATCGAGCTGAAAACAGCAGCTGCAGAAACGACAGACCAGCTGAACTTTCTAACAACATTTTGAAACTAAAGTGGAGTGACCTCAGTCCTGTCAGACGATGTTTGATTTGAGGTTGCTGACGTGTCGTGTGGATTCTCCGTCTGTCTTGCAGTAACAAGATACTTTGCCGCCCAGTTGAGCAACCAATCTGATATTTTAAATCTACTGAAGTCCTGTAGATTCTTTCCAGATACTTGGTACGAGTAAGCGAACAGCTTGCCATCTCTGTGAACAGCGGAAGTCTTCCTCGATGCCGTTTGGACCTGTGGGTGACTGCTGTCCTCTTCAGGCCCGGAGCCATTCATAGAGTCAAAGAGCCAAGATGGAGGACTCCCACTGATCTGAAGTTCCCCCTCCTCCTCCTCCTCCTCCTCCTCCTGGACTGAGGTTTGTGCTTCTTCTGAGTCCTCACTTCTCTTTCTCTTCGCCTTTCTACACTTTCTCTCTACAGTCTCCACCATCTCCTCTTCAAAAATCTGGCTTTCTTGCTCTAAAGATGAAAGATTGGGTTTTGACACACCAATGCAGGGTTCGTCTGTGGCAGGAAACAGGTTTGCCGGTCTGGTAAAGGGTTCTGGTGGACTGACAGATGTTGGAGCAGGAGTACTGACAGTGTCAGGGGGATCAGTTGAGCTTGGAGGCTTCTGGTACGGCAGGAGCTCACTGCCCTCTCCTTTGCTGCTCTGCTCTGATGTCTGCTGGGATTCCTTTGTGCTTCGGACCGGAAGTTGCGTGCTTGTTAAAATGGGGACATGTGGGTGGGGTTCTGGTTCTGGGGACGCATCAGTTGAAGAGGAGGTTTCACCTGGTGGAGAAAACATGTCCCAAGGGTTGGCTAAAGGTCTGACTTCACTTTCATTCAACCTTGTGATCACATCCTCATCCAGCTCTTTGTCCTCCACATGAAGTAGCGAGTTCTCTCTTGCCTCACAACTTACTTGTACAAGTGCCGGATCTTCTATTCGCCAATCTGCTTCATCAGCAGAAGGCCCTGCTGTCTCGCGGACTCGTGGTAAATCTGTTGATCCGTCGTCCAATGCAGCAGAAAGCCTACTTGCAACATCCAGAGGTGTTTGCAGCTGTTGAGCCCCTTCCTCAGGGATGAGAAGACAATTCATGGGAACAGTGAAACATTTCTCGTTCTTGTATCTGACCCTGTCAACGTCCCAGCTTGTAGCAGAGTTTGAGTCTGGGCAGGTCAGTGATGAGGTAGAAGTTGAGGTGGAGGGCTGTGGGTTCGCTGGATAGCTTGCTGTCAGTAGCTTCTCCTTGACCTCCTCCAGCACAGACTGCAGACAGTCGTGCTGCCACTCCCCCAGCAGCTCAGTCAGGTCAAACCCGCACTGGCTTTGGGATTCCTGTCCCTCCTGACCCAGAAGAGTCCTCCACGTCTCACAGACCTTCTGTCTGACTGAGGGCAGGGTTGTGCTACAAGGGGTGTTTTTTTTGACTGGACCCGCTGCAGTTGTAGCCAGCTCTCCTACTGACAAGAAGAATCTGCATTTTGTCTGCTCGGGGGCCATGTGAAACTGCAACGTGTACTTCTGAATGCACACTGTGTGGTTGAGCAGGCTGGTGAAACACTCCCGCTCCTCCTGATCCTGAAGGTGCTCCCAAGCGGATGTGGTGAGGATGGCCGGGATCATGAGCACTCCGTCAGACAGGAACAGCAGCCCTGTTGGACCTTCAGAGCCCTGAGCCTGGGACAGAGACATCTGACCCACCCCGATGACATGAACCTTCAACCGACCACTGCTGCTGCTGCTGCTGCTGCTGCTGCTTCCATCCTGACAGCCATAGCTCAGGATCAGACTCTCTATCCATGGAGAAAGTTTATTCCGGGTAGATCGTGACATGTTTGTAGTTTTAAAAGGAAGCTGAGTGGTTCCTCTATCGCAACATCACAGCGAGAGCTAGAATAAGTAAACACAAGTTATCAACTATTTGAACCCTGATCAAAACTATTTTTATTGTCTTAACATGACTCTTTAAATAATCTCGTAGCTAAACGCAAAACTTGCTTGACCGACTCTACGATTGATAATCTATGCTACGATCACATTTATCCATATTAACAGTCTATGGATTTACCTCACATTTTATTTTACAGCTGTTATTTTTCCCCTTTTAACAACATAATCTTAGCGTAGCTCGAAAAAGTAACCATGTACATTACCTTTAATCCCGAGAAGAAATAACTAAATATAAATCTGAAGTTATGGCGCTGACAGTTTTTTTTCAAGTGAGAGAGGAAAAGGAAATGACGGAAGACGAATTCCCTTCAAATATAAAGCTCCACTATTATAATCTTTGATTTTCTTTCGAAGAAAATAATATGCATACGAATAAATAACTGAGGTTGAAAACATTATTAAATGATTCATTAATTTACGTTGACATATAACTAAAACAAAAACAAAAAATATATATTTTATTTTCTCCCACAGGAAATACTATTTTGGTTTTATGCGTGACTGTGCTCGAGCACGTTATGCCAGCAGGTTGGGTGGGGATACCGTTCCGCTTCGTTTTAAATCTCACTTCTGTACAATTTATCGCTATCGGGAACATAAAAAACGGAGTTTGACTTAGTTTTTCAGACAACCTACAAACATTTTGTTCATAAACATTTGTTGTTATTCGTTGCGTTAGTTATTTGTCAACGATTCTCTTTGTACACAAAGTGCACCAAAAGTATTGGAACACACCTTCCGTGCACACCTTCCGCCTAGCCTATGATGCGTTTAGGGGCTGCATGATTTCTACAATACAAAACGAATAAATAAACTTGTTCTCAACCATTAAACAGTTAAGCTATTCAAGTAGCTGTTTATTATAAGCGTGCTGATTCGAGTAGCTTTCTTGTATAGAAATACCTGTCAATAGTAATCGATTGTTGCCTCAAGAAATAACGTGTCATCACTGAAGTGGGTATTTACCACATTATCTTTTACCGTGAACACACTTCTTCACGTCCACTTACAACATTCTCTCATGGAGTGATTCATGTTGTTCTGGAAGGTAAATGGTTCAGCCTGCAGCTGGTGCTCTAAAGAAAACAAGTGCGCAAATCGTCATCTATAGGTAAGTAACTAATAAAGTGTCAACTTAAACATTTGACATGTAAAACATGACGTAACAAGTAATAACCATTGCAAACACGCAGTGCAGAGCTGACGCCTACTACATTAGTAGCTTCTACCTTTACCCAATTGCGTGTCATTAAGCTTAATAAACTAGACCAATGTGAGCTAATAAAACAACGACACTGCATAATTGTAAATAAAGACAAAGCTAGTGACAATGTTAGTCGTCGTTATGAAAAGTACCGCAGTAGTCGACGGTTGAATTGCTATTAGCCTTAGGCTTTAGCCTTTCAATGTTCTTCATAAGCTTCTCCAAACTTCATGTTGAAACTTGTCAGTAGAAGAATTTTAAGACAAATCGTCGTTCCCACCATATTCTGAAGACAGGTGATATACTAAGAAGAAGTTACTTAACATGGTTTGAATATTGTAAACACAAGTCATTGCTTGCTGACAGTAACGCATGTGAATGAGTAGCTAAGTTATTTTCGACATATATATCAACATAAGTGTTGTCTTCTTTTTTTGGAAGGATAACCTCCTTTTTTAATTTGTTTGAAATCAAATGTAGACATGCCTCTGTCAGGATCAAGTGACCCTGGCTCGAGGGTTTCAGACCCACAACATTCCCAGAAACTCCTCAGGGTCCTTCGAGTCTTCTGGCAAGAGCAAAGTTTCCACGATGCAGTGCTGGTGGTGGATGGAGAGGAGCTTCCGGTCCAGAAGAACATCCTGGCTGCTGCTAGCCCTTACATCAGGTCAGAACCATAGACTGTAAATATGGTCAGAACATGTGTCTGTGTATCTATAAGCTCTGATCATTCAGCACAGTCATAGAATACCTGCTAGAATACCACCCAAAATGACCACGCATTTGATATTGTTTGTTGATGTTTTCTGTCCATTTTCACATCCGATGCGGTCCTGCATTATATTAGAAAATACTTCAGGTTTCTAGTTTAAATCTTTATATTCACTTGTTGATTGATTTTATGCTAGGACCAAACTCAACTACAATCCTCCAAAGGAAGACGGGTCTACATACAGAATTGAGCTGCAGGGGGTCTCCATGTCTATAATGAAACAGATTTTGGACTACATCTTCAGTGGTGAAGTAAGTAAAGAAACTTTCATGGTGGATTAAAAAAATAAACTGAGCTCTATATTTTACATATGCTGTGGTCAAAAGACTAAAAGGTACAAAACATTTTGGAATGGCCCCAGTAGATGACTCTGTCACCTTCAGGATGAATGTGCTCATCAAAGTGCTCCATTACAATGCTTTGGGTTTTGCCACTTTAAAGAGTCTGACATAGAAGAAAAGATCCTGTCAGAGATAGACCTTTCTGTTCAGCAAAGATCCTTTCCATAACCAGAGGCACCTGTTTAACCCTTTCTCTTCTAAGCCATCTGGCTTCAGTGACAATAAAAAGGTATTTTTACCCGACAGAACATGGGACTTTCTAATCTACCACTGAATTATTGGTCGGTGTTTTACATCTGCTTTCTGAGGGAAAGCTCTGATCCAACACAACAAGGGTAACACAACAAACTAACTTGGCGGGAGTAGACCATAAACTCCAGTGTTCTGTTGTTTTCCTTCTGTGGACTCAGGTGGCGTCGGTTCAAAGGAGAGAGAGATTTCAAAAATGTGTTTATGGTTTAAATAAAATGATTCTTCCATTAAAAAAAGAATGATTTGTGTCTCCATAGGTATCTTCTTTAATATTGCCTCACCCTTACAATAACAGTGTGATAGTGCCTGTGTCCGCTCACTTTCAGTCTGATTGTCACAAATTTCTTAAAGATAAATTGTAGACACAAAGGTCGTTAAGGCACTTTGAAGGGATCTACTGGAACAATCCCCAAAAGTACTTAGTTAGTCATTAAGTCTTACTAAATATTTAAGAGCACAACATTCAAAATAAAATAATTCCTCTTCAAAGGGATTGTTTTTTTTTTATTGGGTTGTATAAGGAACTCATCCGGGTAAAAAAAAATGTTTTTTAACTTTGAAAAGTCCTATGTATTAAAATATTGAGTGTAATTTTACACTCTATTCTGATTATTTAAAACGCTTCACTTTAATGCAAGACAGCTCTTTTCTATTGAAATACTTTTCTAATTACTCTCAGTACAGTACTACAGTATTGTTGTATTTTTCAGTGGTTTGGGTCAGACAGTGCTGTGGCCCGTCCACACTGAAATTTGACTTCACATTTTTTCAAGATGGTCACCCATTAAGATGTCACAGTTTGTGCTTGCTTGTGTTTTTTTTTTTTCAGACATTTCAAACAAAGAGTGTCTAAATTGTCTTAAAAGCACAGATGTTTTCAACAAACACTGGACTAGCTCTGCTGAGACTATCCATGCACAACACTGAGACGACTCCACATCTAATTATACAAAACTCACACCAAATATTCCCACTAAACTCTTTCTAAAGATCATGACTGTACACAACCATCATGGACACCAGTGCTTGATAAATACATGAATGAAACAACTCCCCTGAAGTTTCCCCAGTCCGTCTCTGTGATGGCAGATCTAATCAGTAAAAGTTGTTCCTCTGTGTTATCTGGTTTATAAAAGTTGCATCTTGTCTGGACTCTTAATGGCACTTTACTGTTTCCTTAATATTGTATTTTCTTTTCTTTCTTTTGTAAATCTGTAAAGAACTAGTAATTGTTTCATGGATTTGAAAATGGAATGATCATGTGTTTGTCTGTCCTTCACACTCAGATCACTTTAAGCGAAGAAACCATCCAGGACATGGTTCAGGCGTCCGACCTGCTCCTCATGACGGACCTCAAGGCCCTGTGCTGCCAGTTCTTAGAGAGCTGCATCACAGCAGAGAACTGCATCGGCATCCGCCTCTTCTCTCTGCACTACTGCCTCTACCACGTCCACTACGCCGCCACTGAGTTCCTGCAGACACATTTTGGTGACGTAGCGCATACCGAGGAGTTCAGGGAGCTGTCCCATGACCGGCTCTGTGAGGTGCTGGCTATGGAGAAGCTGAACGTGGGCAACGAGAAGCATGTGCTGGAGGCTGTTGTGAGATGGTTGGCTCATGACCCCGAGGATCGCAAGGTGGGGTGATGCTCGGTTTAGGTTCAGTGTGGAGATGAGTAGTAGCTTTCATGAAAAAGAGGCAAAGAAAAAGGTCAATTTGTTGGATTAAATTCCATTTTAACAGTAAATCAGGACAAGTCCCTCACATACGGAGTCATAATTTGTGCTTTGTATTCCGCAAGCTTTCATTCTTTTCCAAACAACACTAAATTAATTTTGTACAATCTGTGTTTGCAGGTCCACATGAAGGAAGTGATGTCTGCAGTGTGGCTGCAGGGCCTCGACCTGAGCTACCTGAGAGAGCAGGTAGAGGAACTATAAAAAGCTCTATAGATTCAAATGTTAGTGTTATAGTCGTAGTAGCAGCGCATGAGACACAATCTAATCTCGTCAATGTCCAGTCTACAAAAAAAGTCCTTCCTGTCTTTGAGGCAAAAACTCTTCTGGCTGTCCCAGGAGCTAACCACATTGTGTGTTGCATGGTATCCCATCAGGCCATGGGGGAGCCGCTGATGAGGGAGGTGATCAGAGATTACTGTCAGTCTGTGCTGAGTGATGGGCCGCTGCAAGGAGAGGCTATGCTCACTGCCTTCAAACCCAGAGGTTACTCAGAGTGTATCGTTATCGCCGGAGGAGAGGATCGCAAGTAAGTCACTGTTTTTATATTCTATTTGGAATAGATCTTTGTATTCATCATCATTATTTCTTTTCTTTTAAGATTTATTTTTGGGCTTTTATTTTATTTTATTGGACAGTCGATAGAGTTGCAAATCAGGGAGAGAGAGTAGGGAATGACATGTGGGAAAAGAGCCACAGGTGGGATTCGAACCTGGGCCACTCGCTTGGGGGACCATAGCCTTCATACATCGGGCGCCCGTACTAACCACTGCGACCACCAGCGCCCCCATCATCATTGTTTCTGTTGTATCATCAGGGGAGAGCTCTAATGTACAAACATAACCGACAGTCTACTGAGGTTTTGTGGTTAACCCTGAGGAGTGTCAATGTCAAGAACATCTTCGGTATGAAAACATTTCAAAAAGTTAAAGACATCAAGTACAAGCACTTCCAATACGGATCAGAAAAAGTATAAGTCATTGAAATGTGTCTGCAAATATTTGCCTACATGACACACTTGGCTCATATCTTCCTTGTCGTCTGTTTTTTTTTTTGTCTGCAGGACCAGGAAGCCCATTGCTCTGACACGCTGCATGTGTCCGCTCTACGACACCAACAGACAGGCCTGGATCGAGCTGCAGCCAATGAGCGTCGCACGCGTCAGCCACGGGGTGGTTGCTGCTGGTCAGTGCTGGGCTTAGGCCTGAAAAATGATGAAGCACATCTTTAATGCATGAATCTTGTAGTTGGACATCAGGGGCAACTCTTGTTATTTTTTAACCTGGGTTCTGTTTTTACACGTTATACAACTATATGATTTAAAGCTGTGAAAAGTTTTGAAATTGTTTCTTTAAATGCTTTAGCTGATGGCAGCAAAAAGTCAGATAGTAATTCAGACCCCAAATTATGTAAGTTATTTGTCCTGGTTTAAAAAGACAAGTATTTCCCCTTCAGAGTATTTCTGTAAAGCAGAACTGTAAAGATGACTGTTCCAGGAATATGTTTGTCTTTAATAACATTTAGTTTCATCTTTTTTTTTTAGAGGGTTTTCTGTTCGTGATAGGCGGAACAGATGAACACAACACAGTGCTGGAGAGTGGAGAGAAATATGACCCTGATTCCAACACCTGGAGCCCGATAAACACCATGCTGCAGGTAAACATGCTCTCTTACACTTTACTCAGCTTTCAATGCCTCCCTCGGTCCAGTCTTCCTGTATAATGAACAAGAAAACAATCAGTCGATCATATGAAGAACGTTTCTGACGCCATGAAGCAAAACATGGTCTTTTTGATTATTTCCCTTCATGGCCACCAGGTGTCAGCAGCGCTACATTACGGGTTCATTTTGTTGGCTGTTCAGACCAAACAGAAACCTCCAGTTTAGAAATTAAACCTAATGCAAAAGTGAAAAAAAGCTGCAGTTCCTCCAGTATCCACTTAAAGCTGGCTCTAAAAACTAAGAATCCCTATAATGCCCATGTTAACAACATGTTAAAACGCCCAATGTTACAGCAAAATTTAACCCATTAAATGCCTGGCACAAAAACAGCTTTGGTATTAATAGCTAATTTCTCTGTTGGTTAAAAACTCTACAGGGGACTATAACTATATGATTCGTTATGACAGTCATAAGGATAAAAGTTATGCATACATTTGCACAAGTTAGTTGACTGACAGGTGGGTGTATGGTAGCTGTTTACCAGGAGTCTAAAGGCCCAACCCCACCACAACCTTTTTGTCTGTTACTAGATTGACTAAAAGTTAGGTGGAGTCAGCATTTCCATGTGGTGAGAGCCACTGACGGGTTTCTTTTCTGCATATCATTCCTAACACTCTCTACCCCCAGGTTTTTACCTTTTTTTACCAGGTTCTCTAGTTTTTCAGTGTAAAAGCTTCTGAACCTCGTTATAGAGCTTGTGCTTGATGACCTGTGCTCATAGTGTGATTGAATCTATCACACACCTGAAAGGAGCATTCGAGCACGGAGGGCTGATGTGTATTCAGTCGTGTGTGGCACACTGCTTTGGTTTGATCATCATTTGTTCCGCCCTTCGTAGGCTCGCCATAGCTTCGGTGTGGTCGAGCTGGACGGTCTTATCTACGTCCTCGGAGGAGAGAATGAAGAATCAGAGCTGATCACCGTAGAAGTGTTTGACCCTCACTTCAATACCTGGAGAATGACCACTAGTATGACCATGATCCGCAAGGTAACAACACTCGAACAAATAATACACTCACAAAACAATCAAAACAGAACCATGCAGTTACTGAGTGAGACATGTTATTGTCTTGGCACAGTTATACGCTTATTGTAAATTCAGTTCTGTTAAAATTTAATGAAAGTCTGCAGCATTTGTAATATTCTTTGATATCATGTACTCTCTGTGAAGTTGACATTCCCGAGAAGTATCTCAAGCAGTGTCTGTGGGTTGCACACGACTTCTACCAGACTCTTCATGACATAATCGTCAAGATTTAAAATTCTCAATATCAAACATGTTATAAATCAGGGACGATTCATAACAGGGATGTTAAAAATGGATCTTCATACCGCTCACACTACAAGATAATCTGGGAAGATAATCGGCTGGGTCGGGAAGAAGCCCGCTCAAATCGGCCCAATTATCTTGTAGTCTGATCTTCAGACCTTCATGTTACCATTTCATTTTCTGTTTTTTCATTGCATGTCTAAAGCCCGTTGTCTAAGATTTAATTTAAAAAATGTTAAAGGCCCCTAACATAAAAATGGACAGTTTCTGTCTTCTTATTTTGTTGTTGCCACACACCATCATCTTTTGTCTGTATAGAGTAAAATGCACCTAACAATTAAACTACAGCAGCTATGTAGAGCGCGTCCTGGGCCATCAGAACTCGTGTGTGTATTCCTTGCCTGTTCATATGTAGCAAGATCAACTACGGAGTGAAAAAAAACTGATAAATAAAGTACCGTATGTCTTTTTCTTCTTCTTAACCTGTCTCCAATAATCAGACAGTACTTTTGATAATTCATTTTTCAAACTGAACCGCCCCCCTTTAAATGCTGTGAGGTGTAAAGTCGTGTCTATCTTCTATGTCAGGTTGGCTGCTACGCCTCTATGAATAAGAAGATCTATGCCATCGGTGGGGGATCCTACGGGAAGCTGTTTGACTCTGTTGAAGCCTTTGATCCCAAAACGCAGCACTGGACCGGCCTCTGTCCTCTGAAAGAGAGAAGGTAAACACAACATGTCTGATTATTGACGACCAGGACAAAAGAACGAGAAGTCACTATGTTTTCATGATCTGTCTTCTCCATTGACGATATCTTAGTCACATAATAAACACATTATTTTCATACCAAACCTCTAACCTCAAACGCCTGTAAAACTTCACCTTGTTCTGGTTCGTATTTCTAACATTAAGTGAAACCATCTTCCATGGTGATGCTCGTTGTCAGTTTAGTTTCAGTTTGATCTCATGCACTCACCCCCACACTGACACCCAAGATGTTGCTCAAAACAAAGTGGTTGAACTAAGGATGTTGAGTCATATATTGCACATTTGTTAGTCATAGCTGAAGTGAACGAATATTTAACAATCAGCCTTCACTTTGTATAGATCTTCTGTTCTGTATCAGGGATCCCAGACCACTTGAATAAACGGGTTGATAGTGAACATAAATATAGCACCAAGATATTTTTTTTATGTAAAGATATTATCATTTACTTTACTTAAGAGGAATAAAAAAATCTCCCATTGGTTTTGTGGACAGCCATTTTCCAAGCCTGGTGTTTATTTATCTTTTTTTCTTACCACTGTAACTTTTGCTGCTTTGCTAAAATGCTCATTATGGATATGCCGGATCTTTGTAATATAGCAATAAGTAAGGTCTTTTTACCTGCTCTTTTGTAATGTTAACAGACAATGAGTAAGGTCTTTTACCTGCTCTTTTGTAATGTTAAAAGACAATGAGTAAGGTCTTTTACCTGCTCTTTTGTAATGTTAACAGACAATGAGTAAGGTCTTTTACCTGCTCTTTTGTAATGTTAAAAGACAAAGAGTAAGGTCTTTTACCTGTTCTTTTGTAATGTTAACAGACAATGAGTAAGGTCTTTTACCTGCTTTTTGTAATGTTAACAGACAATGAGTAAGGTCTTTTACCTGCTTTTTGTAAAGTGTCTTGAGATAACACTTGTTATGAGTTGACGCTTTACAAATAAAAATTGAATTGAATTGAATTAATCTGGAGGAGAAGACAGCTATGCTAGGTGCTAGGACTTTATCTTAGCTGGAAAAACTCCTGATATTTCCAGGAGCAGCTGTATGTGAACGCTAACAGCCACGTTATTCACTCGGACTTCACCCGGGGTTTCTTCTGCCAGACCCCTAGTATTTTTTTTCTTAAGCAAGTCCAAGTGGGCAATTCTCCTCGAGCCATTAGGAGACGGTGGTGACGTTTATATACGGGGACTGCAGTCATTACATATGTAATGATGCACACGGCCGCTAAGATCTCCCTCTGCACGTCATTAAAAACTGCTGCATTATGTTTTCTCTCGTCAGTATGTTGTTCTCCGCTGTGAGTAACATGTGTTAACAGCCAGGTCAGGAGAATGTCTGGAGCATTCCTCCTGAAATCATCCAGATATTTTCATAAATGTATATGTGAAATGAATATCATGCAGTATTGAAGAAGACTTGTGAATGATCAAATCATTAGGAACATGTTTACAGAACAGAAGTAAGAATTAAAGAAGTAGGCTACATTTACACTAAAGACTTGTGTAGAGTCAGGCCTCTTTGCAGCCAGTGTAATCATCTGGTGACGTCTTTGTTACTTTCTTTATTTTCAGGTTTGGTTCGGTGGCGTGTGGCGTTAGCCAGGAGCTCTATGTGTTCGGTGGCGTACGAAGCCAAGAGAACGACAACCCCGAGCAAAGACAGATGACGACCTGCAAGTCTGAGTTCTACCATGACGAGATGAGGAGGTCAGTGTGAAAAGACTGCTTCTGAAGGATTTCTTAATGAACTATTTTAAAGTATTGTCAGGTTCTATGAATATGTAAATCAGTTCTTACCAGAGTTTACTTTTGGAATTAAACGAACTCAAGGAAATGTTCTGTAAGATCTTGACTTTTAAATCTAAATAAGTGCTACACAAGTGTGGTCTGAAACCATGACTTAGAGGAAGGAGACAGCTTCAGAATGCTTATTCTGTGAAATACATTGTTTTGTTTTGGAATGGATAACATTGTTAATACTGGCTCACACTGCAGGAGTTTTAAAATCCTCCCTGATTTTGGATTCGGGTAGCATCACACACTTCAGGAGAATCCTAACAGATATTCTTCTCCATATTCTCAAACATGCTGACACTACAAGATGTGACAATCTTGGAAAACATTTTCTTCCTTTGATTTGGTGGAAACACAAAAACGTCACAAACAAGGTGTTCCATAGGAAGAATATGGGTTGTAATCAAATACCTGAACATGTGGTTTGCTTGATATAAACAGAATTCTGTGCTACATGTTTATGCTAGCAGCAGGTTTTATGTTTCATGTTGTCAAATCATCCAACCCAAAAGGAAAACCTGGATCAGCTAACCTTCAGATTTGACAAAGATGTCCACTTAGGGCACTCAGGGATGAACTGATTCAAACATAATAAAGAGTACGGTCTTGATAACTGCTCTTTTTGTAAAGTGTCTTGAGATTACATTTGTTCTGTGTTGGCGCTGTACAAATAAAGACGGGTTGATATCTAAGGAATACCTGGAGGGAATATCTTCAGTTTGTCCACGTCCAACAAAACTCTCTGATGAAGAGATTAGATTCTGATTGTCAAACGTTAAGGAAGTGATTCCCAAAGTTGAGCCTGCACCCTCTAGATAGGACCTGAAGTTAAAAACAGGTCTTCAAAAACAATGCACACCATTTTGTACTGCAAGCAAAGCATGGCATGTTTATTGAGAGGACATCCAGGTAAACTTAAGACTGACAATGAATCTCCAGCAGACATTATATTTCCTTGTCTTTGTTTTAGTTGTTGTGAGTGACGAGTCATACTTCACCCTCGGATTCACCCGTACAATGGCTGCTAATAAAGAGAGCCACACTCCTTCCTTTAGCCACATAACTGTGTGTGTGAGAGAGGTTAACCTGCAGCCGATCAATCAACACGAAACACAGATCAGAGCTGGACATTGAAAATGAACGAAGGCTGACAATCTCACTGCTGAACCTGACTTAAGAAGATCTGTAGCACAAAACAAGCCTGCACGAGTCACTGAAATGATTAGAAATAAAAACTTTAAAGAAATAAAAACCTTAAAGAAGATCTTGATTATTTTTTTAGATAGTTGTTCACCTTCAGAAAGTCTGTTTTAAAGCATTGACTGTTACATCTTAAAAACTGTGAACTTTAATGTTGCTGCATCACTTCTAATTACTTCCTCTGTAAAAGCCGCTTGTTAGTTTTTCCAGTTTTTTGGACTGACAGAATTGTTAGTTCATATATTGATATATGTTTATGTGCTGATGTGTATATTGAGGGTTTGGGGGCTTAAAATAAATGTGAACTGAAACTTGATAAATTAATGGAGGGAGGCGTACAAACTCTAGGCACTAACTCTAGTTTGACATGGAAAAATCAAGAAACGTTGTTGTTGTTTGTATGTTTGATTTTTTTTTCTGATTCCCATATCTGTTGTGGCTGTAATGTGTACAGGTGGATGTTCCTGGACGACCAGAGCCTGTGTGTTCAAACCAGTTCATCCTTTGTATACGGTGCTGTGCCCATTGGAGCCAGCGTCTATGTGGTGGGAGATCTCGACACGGGTCAGTTAAAAAAAAAAAAAAAAACAGCAAAAATGGACAAGTTATCTTTTGGAATCACAAGTGTTATAAATGTGTAATGTTGGTGTGTCCTGCTTGTTCAGGAACGAGCTTCGACTACATCCGGGAGTTTCGGCGCAGCAGCGGGACATGGCATCGCACTAAACCCATGTTACCCTCTGACATCTCCAAAACAGCCTGCGCAGCCCTGCGCCTCGCCAACTGTCGCCTGTTCCGCCTTCAGCTGAAGCAGGGCATATTCAGGATCAGAATATGACGTGAACGACAGGCGGTGGCTCGGTATCACTCTGCACTCCACCTTTGCACACTGAAACGGTCTGCCAGCTGCAGGATTGGGTTGAGGGATTTGAAGAACACTAGTATGTTTTACTTTTTTTAGACTTAAAGATGGGGAACTGTCTGTTCAGGTTTAAGAATGAAGACGGGGCAGCAGTTCATCCAAACATGTTTTTAAACATCGAAGGTTTTATGGGATTTTTTTTTAATGCAATTTCTTATTTTTTAAGACATTTTTATTTTTTGTCTTTTACTTTAATGGATGCTCATTTCTTCTGTTTACGGGTGATCTTTTGCCTTATGAGGGATTTAACACTGAAAACTACTAATTAATCACAGGAGGGATCATGATTCATACTGCTGTGTTGCAATCTGCTTTAAGTTCTGCTGTATTTAGTTTTGAGATGGTGGTTTTTTTCCTTGTTATAACTTGTAGCCCACATGATCACACTGGAGGGGAGGTTCAAGTGGAGGAAATGTTTCTGCTATGTTAACAGACAGTTCTGTGGGAGGTGAGACCTTTGTGTTAGTCCCTTCAAATCAAAGAGCAAGGGTATGTTTTTTTTCCATTATTTATACATGTGAAGAAACCGTCTGCACGAGGCAAAATACTATCCTGCCTTTATTTACTGCTACAATTCTAGGTATAGACCAGAATGCAATGCAACAACAATGAAGGCAGAAAGCCTCGGCACACTTCAAAGTAACTCTGATCAAAGAGGATCACTGCCTCTAATACTGTGTGAGAAAACTGCGTCACAATCTCAGTCTGCCGATAAAGAACAGATCTTGAGAGGAGTCGGATTGTGCAATGAATTGTTACAACTAGCAACGTCTGTGTCTATAAGAAGCTACAGCCAAAGCATAGGAACTTGTTTTAATTTGGAGCTTTATTCTGAAAGGGACAAAGTTGTGTCAGCTGCCTTATTCTGCATCACTTTAGGTTGTGTTCTGTTTGGTAGGTTTGTAGAAGAAGTTGCGTTGTGAAAATTTGGTTTTCAGATTGTCAATAATGACATTTCTTCATGTATTCCTACAGCAGCTGTAGGAATTCTGTCTTTTGTTAAATTGGAGGGGGCTTAATGTAAGGCCTGATGTTTTTATGAAGCCATAGAGTGTGCAGTGGGAGAGCTGGAGTGCAATCATCTCCCTTAAACTTAAGAGACTACCCTGAATTCTCCTGCGGGAGTCCAGCTCTTTTAACCTCTTCCCTGACATTAGCCTCAACGTTGTAGCTGTAACTCTGAAGAGGAAGACCCCCTTATCTAAATGAAAAGAAGTTGAACCCAAAACTGTTTTCTAGTTGCTACTTAGCAAAGTGTGTGTGTGTGTGTGTGTTACTTAAAGCTTCTGTGAGGAGTTTAAATGAATATTGACGTCTATAGGAGCTACAAAAGCAAACAACACCAACAGTATAAAGATAAACTTGTTCTATGTAGTTATTTTTCATGTCTGAAACTGCTGCCACACAGTAGGTGTCAGACGAAGTGATAAACTGCAGAAACATCCTTTGTTTACGGTTTCTGTGGCAACAATTCCCAATGAGGGAAATGTTTGACTGTTAGAAAGAAGGCATAAAAACTGTAATTACACGTGTGCAGGGGGAAAAAACGAGCAAAGGCATAAGAGGTACCACTGGGATTACCAAAACTGAACACAAACGTTCCTCACAGGAGCTTTAACTTTACCGAGAGTGTAGACCCAGAGGATGAGCACACTGTGTAACTATTTATCATGTAATTACGAAGACTCGTCTGGTTTTGTCTTTGCTCTCATTTGGCTGCCTGATGTTGTTTCACCACATTTTTTCTCACATGTCAATGTGGTTGTTGACAGAATCACACGAGATTGTCACATGAAACGTCTCATCTGCTGTCATGTTTATTCTTCCTGTAAAAACCCCGCTAAGCTATGCAACAAAATAACCATAAATACGTGTAGAAAACCAGTTACTGAAATAAAGAAACTATAAAATTATAGATACATCAAAGTCATGATTATGTCCCAGAATGTTTTGCATCATGTGAATGTTTGCACCGTCGAGCACAAGCGCTTTGTCTGATTGTCACTTTTTTGTCATCGGCCGAGCTGTGTGGGCTCTGCCTGGTCAGAAATAGACGTCTGTGTGAGTGTAACTCTTGAATTGCAGGATGTGTTGCTGCCTCTGTGACCTCTGACCTGGCTTTCCAGTCAGAACACTTTTGGCATCCTGACCCCGTTTGTTCTGTGTGAGTTACAGCTGCTGCTGTCTGTCCTCAGCCCAGGGCGGTGAATACACAGCAGACACCATCATTCTCTCTCTCTCTCTCATGTTATCACGTCACACATTAGAACACTAACAAAGATCAACCCTAGGTGTGGTAAAGGACTATTAAAGATGTCTTGAAATTGTTAAAATGTGTGTTCATCTTAAAAGGAAATAAATCATGCAACACCTAAACGTACTTGTATAATCATCCTGTCATTCTGATGCTGTAGAAATATATTCAATGTAGTAGGAAAACTGCTGCATTAGCAGTTGGTATCAGTGTAGTGTATCCCGTCTATAATGACTATGTAAGTAAGCAGGTTTTGGTTATGTAAACACACAGTTTTGTATCGTAATCTGAGCAAACAAAGCAACTTAATCTTGTTCTTCAGTTTGAGTGTTAAGTGAAACCTTTAAACTCCTTGATTTAACAATAAACATTCAATGTTCAGTTGCACAATTCCTAGTCTGCATCCGTTTCCCCGTCTCACATCACTTCATCAGTAGTTCAAACATCACTGACTTAATGTTGCACTTTGATCAACTTTTTTTTAAAGGTCTCAAAAATTATTCCAAACACTTAAACATGTTGTTCAAACACTAATATGTGTCCCTAGTCTGTCAACCCCACAATTATCTGTAAAGTCCATCCTCTCCGTCTTCTCCCTGCTCCACTTTACAGAAAATGTGAGCTCAAACAGGCCATTCAGAAATTTTCCCTTCATGACATCACAAAGGGCAGTAACCCCTCCCCCAGGTGAGAGACACTCCCACAGCCAGGTGTTTGTTCTGTCCTCTGAGTCTGCCTTATCACTGTAAACAATAGGGCATGGAGCGAGAAAGCCAGAGCCACCTAAGCCCTTCCAGAGAGGGGGCGTGTTCAGACACAGCTCACTCGCATTTAAAGATACAGACACAGAAACAGCCTGTTCTGAAAAGGGCTGAAATAGAGTTTATAGGCATGATAAAATACAGGATGAGATCTCAGATATCAACTCAACTTCCACGTTATTTGTCCCTGAAGGCCGATTGGTTTTGCGGTAAGGCAGAACAAGACAGTAATAAGACAAAAGAACATCCAAAAAAGCCAACACGGTAAAAATGCAAGAGACATGTTTTGGAGAGCCCTGAGATGTATTTAGACTTTTTGAAAAGAAGCATAATATGTGACCTTGAAGGTGATAACAAATAATTGTCACCATGAATTGAATCAGAAGAAGTAAATAAATAGTAAATAAATCATTTTTACTTGTGGAAGGATTCAGCTGAAGTCATCTCCCTAAAGTTAAAGGGAATGACTTTATCTTAAATGTGGGTTCAAATGACTAATGGAGACAAAAAGTGATGATTGCTTCAGTAAAAGGCTTCAGCCAGCAGCTTTGAGACAGGCAACTTTTCCTAGACCTTTGGTTCCCAGACTCTTTCTACCACCTTTTTCTTTCTGCGCATAAATGTGTATGAATGGGATGCGTTAATACTGATGGACACTTCTAAGTGTGACCTGCTGTGTAAAAAGCGCTTTGCTACCCAAAGCGCTTTTTACACCTCAGGTCACACTTAGACTTAGAAGACTAGAAAAGCTCTATACAAGCTCATTTGTATGTGGCTTTTACAGAGACGCAAATAAAAGTGATACAGCAACATGAAACTTCCATGTGTTAAAAGTGGATTTCATTTTGTACAGTAGTGTGTAATAGATACAGACAGAAATGAACTCTTTACTGCTAAGGATGCTCAAATTCTTAACCAGAAAGTATTTACGTTTCTGGTCTATCGCTGCCTTAATAAGGCATTACTCATAAAATAATGACGGTTCCCAAATCCCCCTTTTAGTGGACCTTGTAGAGTTTTTTCTAACCTTGGAAGAGCTATAGAGCAATGTTTTTAAAAAGTGGAGGCTCAGACTTGTGTGCTAAGTTTAGTAATTTCCCCATTGAATCAGAAAAATGAATGTAGCAGATAATCACTGACATTCTTACATTCATTTCAAACACTGTATGAAAACAACAAAGTGTGCAAGCCTGTGCAATCATATATCAAAAGAAATGTGCTCTGTTACAGGGAATATCTCGTCCTTTTTGCCTTTTCTGTCATTAGACCCCAAGCTGATTTCTACCTCATTCTAACCAGTTTTAAAATTGTTTGTGGACATCAGAATCATTGTTTAAATTGGATTAATGATCAACAATCAAGGAACATTGATTTACAATTTATTGCACTTTATGAAAAAGTAATTATTGCCACATCCGGTTCAAAAGTACATTTTAACAGACACAGTCTCATACACTAATTTGTTATTCTGTTATGACTCACACGCAGAAATAAAGGATTTCCTGGAGCTCTTTAAAGCCACAGGACCAATCAGCTGAGGCTGTGAATAATGTGCTTCCTTATTTTGGTACAGACAGATACGTTCCATAGTGTCCGATCATTTACAGTAAATATAACATGAAGTTTCAGAGAAGCCCTGTATCCTAAACGCACTTGTTCTCTCGTATAAACACCTCATGACTGTCTGTAATCTGATTGGTGGAAGAAGAGGAAACACTAAGAATGGAAAATAACAGCAGTGCAAAGTGAAAATAATTGTCTTAACTTTAACCAATGTTGTGTAAGAAAGGGAGGAGGGGTGAACCTACAGTTTCAGTTTGTTCTTTTCTAACTGCTGCATGAGGAAGTTTAGTCAAATGGTGCTCATGAGTGTCATTCATTTACGTCAAAGGACTGAAAACATCACAGTGGCCAACTTTGTGTCTCATGCATGTGTTTCTGGTTTTTTGGTTTGTTGTTGCTTGTTCAGAGTTCAAGACCAATGGATGACTAAGAGGAATATTTAGCCTCAATATGAACTGTTTACATCTTTCTGCCCATTTTATACTGAATGATTCACAAAACCAAACTCAAAGCCTCGGTAAGAGGGTGCAAACGCTCCGCAAAAAGATATGGAAATCACGACTTTGGGATGTTTTTATTCTTAAGTCTGAATCATTGTTAAATTACTCTTTTAAAGCAGGGAGCAGTTGTATATAACTTATCATTGTAGCTCCAACTTCTATGATTGATATCAGGATTTTGTTTTTTAAGTGTCTTTCTAGCACTGAGGCTAGCAATGCCTGAGAGCTCAGAGTCCTCGTAGTTACTCCATTATTGAAAGCTGATAATCAAAGGGATCCTGTATGGATCATGAATATTGAAGAAAAGGATCCTGATCCTGTATTTTAGCATATAACCCCATTCATTTCAGCCCTGCTCAGCACAATGTTTCTGTGTCTTTAGCTTTAAATTCAAATGAGTATGTTTTAGTTTAGGTGGCTCTGGCTTTCTCACTCCATGCCCTATTGTTTACATTAAGAAGGCAGACTCAGATGGCAGAACAAACACCTAGCTGTGGGAGTGTCACCCACCTGGGTGTGGGGTTACTGCCCTTTGTGATGCCACAAAGGGAAGATCTCCATACAGCTTGTTGGAGCACACGTTTTCTGAAAAGTGGAGCAGGCAAAAGACGGAGAAGGTGGTCTTTTCTCATAATTCTCAATTTCTCACAGAAAAACATGGAAAGGTGTATTTTGAATAACATGTTACATTTAAGGTGATGATAATTCCATCTATAAAACAACAATGCACTGAATCATCTCTATTGTCTAATGCTTTTTAAATGGTTTTATTTTCTCCTATAAAATTTACCAAAATCAAAAAATGACTTAATGAGGCATCGATTCAACACTTTAGAGATAAATAATAATATGCACATGTTGAACCTGTGTGATAAAAATCAGGCTTTAAACTTTTGCAATCTGACTATTAAAGTGTGTTCAGACCAAAAGCAAAGGCATTGTTTTGCACAGAATACATTCATACAATGTGTGTGCTGAGACACAAATAGATATTTACTCCACAAAGCTGTTCTTTGTAACTCTGGCAAGAAGCCATTATTTATGGTAGCTTTTGAACTGAAATTTGCTCAGGTTTAAAAAGTCAACCCTACCTTAAAACATCCTCTGTGGACCTTCATGACATGACACACCCTGAATTTGGTACAGAACTAGGTTCACACAGGGAAACTGTTTGGCTGATAAAGAAAAAACTTTCACATGCTGGTTGTTTATTATAGTAACTCAGTGATTGGACTGATTAGATGTGATCAACAGTCAGCTGCAGGATTCAGTCATATCATGGATAAAACTCAGAAGATAATATAGAAAAGAAAAGTCTCTGCATGTCTCAAACTCTCATATGCTCACTTTTTGAAGTTAAATAACATCGTCTTCTTCAAAATAAAACTAGACTTCATCAGAATGAATCACACTGCTGCTGGATATGTATTCTGGTGGTTCAGTTTAACTTTCTGTGCTATTGCTAGTTTTGCATGCCCACGCCAACATGTGCATGCCCTGAAGCAACCATTTTGTAAAATGCATTTTTCTTGAAAAAAAGTCACTAGTGTTACTGTCACATGGTGTTACATTGCAAAAAATTAACCATCACTATCAAGTCACACTTTAAACAAACCATTTTTTAAATAAATAAAAGAGAATCCCCTAATCTGCTGCATTACCATTATTCTTCTGTGACTCTGACTATTATGCTAGATGAAATACAACATTTTATTTTATAAAAACCTTTAAATGTTGCTTAGGAGGTAACATCAGTGACAAAAGGACGAGACATGCAATCTTTAAATAAACGCAAAAAAAATATTCAGCTTTCATTTATGCAAAGTCTTGAAGCCTTTAAGTTATGTAATAATATGGACTAATTTTAAGTGATAATTTAAAAATAATAATTAATACACTTTAAGACATTCTGTAACCCCAAGAGTGGACGTTTCTGTAGAATTACCCTTAAATGATTTTATAATGACCTGATTCAAAACAAGTTGCCAAGCACTTTACTTAAACACACTTTTCCAAACACACACACACATATACACACATATACACACATATGCACACATATACACACATATGCACACATATGCACACATATACACACATATACACACATATGCACACATATGCCCATATATACACACATATGCACACATATACACACATATACACACACACACACACAGGAGGCTAGCTTACCGCTCATGTGAATTGACCACCTGTCTAACTGTCTGGAGCAACAGATATCATTTGAC